TGCCGGGAAGAAAAACAAAACACAAATAAGACCAAAAAAAAAAAAAACGTAATCGCTTACGACACATCTGTAGCTGCACCTCTAAGTCTTTCAGTCTCCTTTAAAACTTGAACCATGAAGACACAGCACATGGTTTTAACTAGTGTGTGTGTGTGTGTGTGTGTGTGTGTGTCTTCGCTCACCCTGCTCCCGCCGTTTGATCTGCTGGATTTGGTCCACGGTGCTCTTGAGTATGTGGCACTTGTCGGGCTTGACACTGAGGCTGGCGATGTCGCCCATGTTGGATGACAGCAGCTCAGCCAGCTCCTCGATGTAGCGGCACTCCAGCTCCCGTCTCCTCTTCTCCAGGCTGCACACACAAGACGCACGTGAGGGGTTAACAGGAGTTTCAACATGTTTGACATCGTCTTCATGCATCTCTGTGGGTTTTTAAAAATGGACGAAGCATCTGAGAACCAGATGAACGAGATCGAACGGCTTCGTGCATTTAATTCTTCTTTTTAAACATCGAATCACCGGATTCGTCTGATATCAGAGAACTTAATTAGATAATTATCATCGTATAAATAACAAATGGGATTTTTAACATGAACATAACAGAGAACAATATATTTTCAATAATTGTAATAACAATAAATTTGACCCTGATACAAACAAACAGGTGAATTGCTGTAGTTTTTCACCCGGTGACGCAAACTGCCTGGTATTTGTTTTCATGTTACGTAAAAAAATATCATATATTAGTGAGTTGAAGGGAGTTGGTGCAAAATAAGTTAAATCCGTCTTTAACTCAAGCCTCTTTGCACTCGTTGTGCTGATCCTTGTTCTCCAGTTGCAATAATATACTTTCAGACCGACGAGTTGCAGCAAGGTATGTGGTAAACATGGGAAAAAAAGAAAAAGAACTGTGTGTATATGCGAGAGTGTGTGTGTGAGAGACGACAACAGCAAAAGTAGGTCAGTGCATTGGCCGGCCAGAACACACAGGCGTGGTAACCGAGCGAGGCAGGCAGGCAGGCAGGCAGGGAGGGAGGGAGGGGAGAGGAGGGGGAGGACGCTGCTGTGTGTGAATGCGCTGGTCAGTGGCTGCGTGTAGCTGCTGTAGAAATGCTAACTGACCTGTTACATCAGCTTACATCAGTTATTTGCCCCTTTTTGACTCACAAACACACAGGACAGTGAGGACATTCACTATTTAGTCCCTGCATGTCCCGCCTTGACCTTTGGCCCAAACTACAGCTGAGTCTAACCTTAACCACACAGCATGTTCCTCCTCCTCCTCCTCAGAACCGTTCACAAAGAAAACGACTTTCTGCTTCTCGCTCCTCTCATTTCATCGTCCTATACGTCGATCCAGGAACTCGCACACATTCAAAGAGCCTCCCGACGTCAAGGGCTGATATCCTTCACCTCTTGAACAGTTTTCAAACATCAACTTTGAAGATGGGGTCTGGACATTCTCCGGGGTTTCTGTCTTCCACGTATGAGGAAAGCCACAGGAGATTATCAGACTTGTTCACAGGGAAATCTCTCTCAGTCCTTATCACCACAAGATGAAATGATCTTCTGCGTCTCCTTCGTGTAGTTATTTTGTTTTTGTTCAGTTCAAGTTTCCTGTTAGAAATGTCTTCGATTCACTCTGTGAATTCTCTGGACTTGTGCTGCTTAAAAAAAATCAGACGGGACAAACTGGAATCTGAAACCTTTTGATTTCCTGATTAAATACTTTAAATAATTTTTAGTTTGTTAGTTCGTCATCAGGCTTTTTCTTTCTTTGACGATGCCTGTCGCCTCAGACAAGATATGATGAGAGAGCGGATGAAGCTTTACTGATCCACACACCGGGGAAATTCAGACCAAGGTAACAAGACGAGGTCAAAACTAATTTCTTACTAAACTAAATTAGACATTTGCCTACGCACACGATTCTTCCAGGTGAAATTGAGAAAAGTTCAGGGCTGAGTGAAAGCAGCTTTTGTTTCTCTCAGCGCAGACGCAGGAAGACGTTTGCCTCTCGTTCTCGGGGTGATAATCACAACTGCCTTCCTGAGGAAAGTAGCTAGAGTCTGTCCAAAAAGTCAGGCAGAAACTGTTTGCATCAATTTATGTTAAAAAACTAACCGCTTGTAGGGAAACTCCCAAAACTTGAGTAACGTAGCATTTGGCGGACGAGTGAAGTAACTTGATCACAAACTCACTTACTCACTGACAGGATGCAGCGTGTGAGGCAAGACTCTCACTGACAAATTTGGAATTGGATCCAAAATGTAACAAACGATCAGAAAACATCTCAAATGACGAACAGTTTTCGAGCCATAAATAAACCGCAATCGTACATTTTTGTGTTTTTATTAAATGACCTGTCAGCACCCGTCCCTGAAGGCAATCAAACTTCATTATCTGACTCGTTAAGACAAGAGCTTTTTGTTTTTAAGTCTCTTTTTGTTTTTTTTAACGTCTCTCTGAAGCGTTTTGAATCTTTATGTCACCACTGTCTGTCTCTATGTTGTCATTCTGTTTATCATCTCGTGGAAAAGAGGCCTTGATACAGGGTCCTCATGAATCCGAGGGCCCCTGGGCTTGTACCCATGGTCCGTTCATTCCAAAGCAGATCCCTCCTTTATCTCTTTGTTTTGAATGTGGTGTCACAGACCAAATGAAAGACGTGGCCGGGTCTGTACCTTTGCCCCGATGTGTCGCATGGTGAGCCCTTCCTCTTGCGTGACTCTGGCGTGGCAGGGTCCAGGGGGCTTTCCCCTACTGCACTCATTTTCAGCTTCGACTGACCTAAGAAAGAGGAAACACACGATACAGACACAGGTCAGTAACAAAATAAAGACAAACATTACGATACCTGCCGCCAAATGTTGATAACACGACCCTGGATCTTGTTTTTTGTGTTTTTCTCTAAGTACCTCCAGAGAAACAATAGGGTTTGGTTTGCAGACACAATCTTCTGTTACATAAGAGCTGTTACTGCCGCACACAAATTGTATTTGCATATTATCGTGGCATAAAGCCTGCGGTAAGGTTCACGCCGTGTGCAGCTCGCATGAACTTCAGCTTCGGGTCACAGTTCAGTGTGTTTTTAGAACAGAAGAGGGAAAAACAAGAACGAGATGAGAGGCAGAGATATTTGCATGTGGTCTGCACTTTCTCCAAAACACAAACAAGCATCTACATAAATAAGGAAACGGATGTCTGAAGAATGTAGAGCTGAAATGATAAGTCCACCATTTTTAATCAATTACAAACAAATAACTATTTCATAATCGATTATCATTAATGTCATGCGTGTATGTATATATATATATATATATATATATATGTGTGTGTAAATATATTGGAAGTGCCCTTTCAGTCTGAACTTTTAATTCACTCGCTCCGGCAGATTCAGGGGTGTAACCATGGCAACAGAGAACGCTGCAACATTTGATGAAGCAAACCGTGTGCAGACGACATTTATCAGTGAACCTGCACGATGACTTTAGACAAACATTAAAGTTAAAACCCTTTTAATGTATCGGGCGTTAGGTTGAAAGCCAAAGTAATAATTCAAACAAGCTGCGGAAAACGAATCTGAAGGAACAGAAGCATCCGTGGAGCTTCAAGTTGTAAAGCATGAGTAAGTGGGTATTTGAATTTAAAGTATATGTATGTTGTCATGAGATACACTGGGTTTAATGTTTTATTAGTAATCTATTATTTTACTCTTGAGTAGAGCTTGTTCTCATTTTCCAATAAAATAAATGAGTTTTGGAAGTTATACAAAACCATGTTTCTTTTGATGCATTACTCAAAGTGTTAAAGAGATTTTCATGTATTATAACATAAGATTTTCTTTTTGTTTCAGTCATCAGCAAATCTACATTTCAGAGAATAATATAAAAGAGTTAATTTTACTTGGGAAAAAAAAGGACTAGTGATTGATTTTCTGTCATTTAAGTAACCGACTGATTGTTTCAGCTCTAATGTGAAGTGACGCTTGTGAGCAGAGGAGAGAGAGGCTCCAATCTTTCCACAATGACCTTGCCACCCGTACGCTGATCACTTCTGATGGTTGACAAGCCCAAGTTATGCACGTGCTTTATATTCCTTTATATTCTTGGCAATAAGTCAACACGGGAGCAATTTACTGACGGCATGGACATAAATTACAATGCAGTTACATTTAATGATTTACCAAGAATCCACTGGACACCCTGCACTCTGCGCAGGATCTATATAGATGAGTTTATTTATATTAAGTCCAACACTTGAACATGCTCTGGCTGCACATTCACACTGATGAAAAACACGTTGCCTAACAATTTGTTTTTCCCGCAGGCCGAAGCCGCGAGGGAAGCCTGGCGTGTCTGGCCATCAGTCGACAAGCCATCAACAACCATCGTCATATTTCTGGTCTTTCCTGTTTTCCTACCATTATGAGACTGTTTCATAATCAGCAGTTCCTCACACATGATAAGTGTTTATGATTGGGGCTGCCTTGTTCCTCCACATCATAACGACGTCAGCAGGTTCTTTTATTCTGATGCACCGGTTCACTTTCCTGATCATCTTGTTTGTTGCTGCTCGAACATCTTTCTTTCAACATTGTTCTTATTATCAATCAATCTGCCTCATTTTATTCTAGATCCATCTTTTTGCCAATAAAATTATGGAAAAACTAAGGATAATGCTTTGCCTTTGTGAAAGAGGTTGTGCATTGTCATTGTGGTTAGAAGTTAATCCGTTTCTTAATGATTGGATAATAACAGGTTTATGTTTCCAGCTTCATTCGTTCACTCGTGATAGTTAAGGAATAAATTGGGTTGTTAAATGTTAAACAGTCACAACCAGACCCTTCAAATGTAAAATATTAAAGTGACTTTTGTGTGAAGGCAACAAGGAAGAGAAAGAATCGAATAAACCTCCAACTCTTTTTTCCATTATGTCCCTGACTTGTCAACATTTAGAGGACAAGCAGTGTGTTCACAATACCAATCACCCAGTCCTGCTGCCAGTAATAATCACTTTGAACCTGGAAGTGAGTTGAATTGGTTCAGCAGCAGTTCACTCAGCTAAGATTAATTGCAGTGTACCAGCAGAGGCCCGCAACTCGTCCACGATAAAAGGGGAAATATTCTGTATAGTGTCAATATCCTGCTTTACACTTTAAACCATGTCACAAACAGGAACAATTATTCAGCAGCATGCGTAGGAACTTATAGGAATCTACCGAAGAAAAGGGAGGTCAATTAACAAACAGCTAGAAGTTAATAAAACATTGGTTACGGTTGTTTAATCAACTTCTCTGCGACTCCTTCAAAAACTCCTGCTGCTTCTTTTGTGAGCGTTATTTTATTTTTAAGAGCAACCTTGCAACTCAAGACAGACGGGGACGATATTCAATTCACTTCACTTCAATTTTATTTTCATAGCGACAAATCACAACCCTGACAATATTATAATACAATCCAATAGTTCCTCCATCCAAATTGTTTACTTGGATCTGCACCAAATTTCAACACAGACGAAAACACAACAGCCGGAGGTAACAAACTTACAGCTACACCTTCGCTTGCATCCAGGTAGGATGGTAAAAGCATTGAGCTTTATAAATAAACAAATCTCTGTTGTTAAATTGGCCTTAGATGAACCGTTCGCTTGTGAACAACTCAGCGGTTTTGAACAGATGACAGTGTCACAGTTCGCTCTTATTATAACATCTGAGCTGTTTTACATGTGACTCAAACAGGTAAAATTAGAACTGCTACAGCTGCAGTGAGAACAGAGCCTCCGTCACACTGTCACACATACGAGCCGCAGTTAACACAAACGAGCCCCGGTGTAATCCTCCCCTCCACCACACACACTTGAAGAGGAGGTGAGGAAGAGACCACCAGGTAGAGAGCGGGGAATGAATAATGTAGATTACAGAGAGAGAGAGAGAGAGAGAGGGGTGGAGGTAGGACAGTGTTAATGTGAGAGAAGAGAGGAGGAGAAAAAGAAGAGAGCAAGACCGACACAATTCATTATCATCCATCATTAATATGCCCAAAGTAAACACAACCTTTAGCTTTATTATTTAAGCTCCTTGTAGAATCTACGGCGTCGGACCATCCATCAAAACATTCAGCTCCTGGACAGATGTTTTTCTGTTTTATTCGATTTACATAAATATATAATATAAATACATGTCTCTTGTAAATCCCAATAAATATAACCCTGTAAAGTCTTAGACCACCTTGGGTTGGGCCCCCCCCCCCCTCTGCTCCACTGACTTGGTACAGCCCATGAGAAGCTGCTCAGTCACTGTTGCTAAGGCCCTCCCTCTCCAACATAGGACATGACCAGGGAATGTACACAGCTTCTGACAAACAGGGCCACGGTGCACTCATTTTCTCCTGTGCTGCATGAAACGTATGCACGGGTGCTGGTTCGCTGACACAGAGCGTGTGTTTCTGCGAAGACACATCTGGCTGCAGGAGATTTCTTCCACATGAGGGCAGGTTTAGAATCAGTCCGCCCAGAATTCAATCAAAACACAAACAGATTCCATCGTTAATCAATTAATAAACTATTACAGGCAGACAGCTCTGTAACTTTCAGACAAGCACAGAACTCTGGAATTACTCCTGAAATTAGAGTAGACTAGAATAGAATGCCTTTATCGTCATTTCACAGCTGTATAACGAAATTAAGCTCGTCTCCCTGAGTTGTCTGAGTCAGTTGCTCAGAACAATCTCTGGATTGTTTTTCCTACCGGCCCCGTAGTATAAATGTCCGACTGAGTCCGTGTGAGAATCTGTTGATGACGTTTCAGTGACAAACGCAAAAGAATACAAATGTGTCAGGATGATAAAGTGGCGTCAAACACGCAGAAGACACCAAATATGTCCTCTTGGAAAGATAACAAGATTCCAGAGCTTCTGGTGATAAGGGCTGATGCCGGTGTCGATGTGTTGTGAGCAAAAACAGAATTTATATTATTTAGTTTTTGTGTCTGGGACAATCTCCTGCTGCTTCTTCATACGTGAATGACAAACGCCACAGAAAGTACAGCAACGATGTCTGAGAGCGGTTTGTGTCGCCTCACTTGACCTCAATAAAACAAGCAATCGCAATAATTGTTTACAAAACAACCAAATACAGTCTGACTACTGATTGTGTGTCGTCTCTTCAATTTAAAAGAGGCAGAGATGCGATTTAGTATTGAAACAAATGTTGTGACCTTCATTTTAAACAGAGCACAGTGATTTAATTTGCTCAATTTTAGAGACTGCTGCAATATTACTTTCCAAAAACTAATAAATATTACCCAGCCTGCAAGCATCATCATCCACAACTAAATTTATCACATTGCACATGAAGAAGCTTCCTCTGAGAGACGACAGTGTCGGCTCAAATAATGAATCAACAGAAACACGGTTACTGAGTCAAAAATTAAGTCTTGGTTTGTTTTTACCCATGAGCCACATAAAAGATGAATTTATATTTCCTCGTGAAGTTTATCTGAGGCAATCCGTGCAGCTCCACACGACCAAATTCCCCCGAAACTGCAAATATGACGAAGAAAAACAACTTAAAACGAACCAACAACTAAATCCACAGAGAAATAGAGTGAATGCACCTTGAATGTAGTCATCCCGTGTTGCATGTTTGATTCATCTGACCCGTATTTAACGACAGGCTAGCGCTCATTATCTAGTTCAAACTGCCATCGCACGTGAACGTGGATGAAGATGCCGGGAATCAAACCGGTCGGAGCAAACTGACCTGAAAATCCGCTGCACGAAACAACAATGTAACTGACACGGGTGAAAGCTTTTGAAATGACAGTCTGTTTCCTGGTCACTCCATTTGTCGGTTAAGCAGCGCATTTAGGTGGTCATGTAAATGTTTCTACCTTTAATTACTCATAATCATTCCTCGTGTCATGTCATGTTAATTATTCCCTGCTGATCCCTGAAGATAGATGTCAGTGTTGGAGTCTGTGCATCGTGCACTTCTGTCGGTGCTTCTTTTTGTTCTGTTGTTATGATTATAGGTTGGGCTGGGATTAATTTATATTGTGTCGTATAATAATAGCGATGCATTTTATTTGTATAGCATCATTCATACAAGAAATGCAGCTCAAAGTGCTGCATGGAAAGTTCAATCAACTACGACACACAAACAATAAAGTCACCAACTTAAAACACTAGCAAGCTAACTTTAAGGCTCAAGTTAACTTGATTCACAATCTCCAATAGCACTGAGTAAATAGCAGACCTCCGCCAAGTCCACTCAAATGCACCAGCTTGTAATGCTGTTTCTCAACACGGTGAATTCCTCAGGAAACAATGCAGAGATCTTCTGGGTAAAATGAAATCAGACATGTGTGTGAACAGGTGAAATATGGTGCAGAACTGGATAATGATCTGGATGCACGTGATCTCAGTTGGTGGGGCTTGGCGGAGATATGGCCTCTCCAAGTGCTGTTCTAGGTCACAGAAATTAAAATGCTGAAAAGGTAACGTGTGCATGATTTGTGGTAAACATGCCAAAAAAGAAACAGGCCGTGGTCCTTTAAGAGTCCCCGCTCCTCGACTGAATGCCCTGTTAAGTCTCAGTCCATTGTTTCCCACCATCTGTGCAGACCCAGATCCAGGATGTTTACCAAGAGAGAGAAATAACCTTGGACTCCGACAGACGCTACTACATCTCGTCAGACTCCTGAGTGTATAGAATGCATAGTGTGGAGCCGTCTGCAGTGCCGAGGTGCAGCCGGAGGACTGCATGCAGCACAAACACACTTCTCTCATCCGTGAAACAATGGGAGCAGAAAACTGAGATCTAGCGTAAGATACATGAGGGAAATGGTACGAGCAAATCATACAATATGTATGACCCAAATGTAAAAAAAATTCTATTATAGGCAATGAAAAGGGAGCTGCCCACTTCTATGCACATAAAACATTTAAATTTCAGTCTAAATCCTTAAAATGGCGACACAATACTTTAATATATAATCATAAAGATCCACGTATATTAGAATAACACCCATCTCCAAACGTGTCCTCTACCAGACAGACAACTCCACGTGAATATTCATCGCTCATTGAACATCACCGCTCTCCGCTGCGTAATTTGCCTCTGTGTAATCTGTGAGTGTGGGGGTGTGTGTGTGTGTGTGTGTGTGTGTGTGTGTGTGTGTGTGTGTCCTCATTTCAACTCGAGGAGCGCGATGGGAGGCCTAGTGAGACCTGCTGGGATGCTCTGAGCATTGCAGCTACTCTGAGGCGCTGAATCTCAGAGCACATGGTGCAGGAGAATAATGCAGAGAGACCGGTGAGAGAGGGGTCTTATCTTTCTAGTCCTCTTCTAGTCTAGTCTGCACGGAGACAGTGTCTTTCAAAATGCAGCCAAACACGCAGAGTAAATGAGAACACACTGTCATTCTCTCACGTTAAAGATTTTTAATAGAATTCCGGATGCAGATCCAATAATCTAACTTTAAGAATTTGTTTATAAATCGATGTATTCACATGCACATCATTTGTAAAAATGACAGCTGATTGAAATATAATTGAGAGATTATTAGGTAATTACATCCCATATTAATTGCAGGCTCACCAGACACATTACAAATCAACATGAACCCCCTCCAGGCACATTTGTGTGGCTCGTCCTCAGCTCAATACAACAAAGAAACCAGCTCCAGTGTCTATACCTGCTTGTACTTCTCAGAATATTGAATATTGACCTCTGGTCCACCACCATCCTACAAACATGGCCTTCAGCCTCAGAAACTCAATTTACACACATTCTCGATCGATGTGACAGAATATTCCAGGGATATTCAGTGGGAATCGATCCTGAATACTAAACAGGGTCACTTGCAGAATGTGCCACAGGCTCCGACACTGAATTCACCTGGGTCTCAGAATGGGATGTACTGCAGCACACACACACACACACACACATACATACAGAACGCTGAGCAGCTGTCCTTACTTGATCTAGGGCTTCAGTGGGTGAGTCATGTGGTGTCTGTGGTGGCCTTGTCCAGGGCTCTGACCAAAGCTAAAAAGAGGAAGGGGGAGCCTGGAGGGGGTGAGGTCAGTGGTGGTCTCAGAGTCGAGATGATGGAGCTGCTGTGCTGCTGCTGCTGCTGCTGCTGCTGGTGGTGGTGGTGGGGTTATGGCTCCACAGCCACTGTGTCGCACGGCACCATCCCAGGTGCAGGGGGGGGGAGAAGCCCGGTGGCCTCAGACTGGAAAGACAGAGAAATCAATATGAAAATAAAACACTGTAGGTTTTTCATTATCCTACAAATTCATTCAATATCATGAGATCTACACGCCAGATAACAAGCTTGTGTAAAATATGTGAGACCTCTAAAGAGCACACGCAAATGTTTCATCATGACAACCGACCTGAAGACAACAGGGTCACTAGCAGGAAAATAACCAGGCACGTTGGGAGTGCCTTCGTATGAGAAGGTTATTTTATATCTTCCTCTAGTTCATATATTTACGTCAATACAACCTTAAAGTGAAGAATTGTGGCCATTAAAATTGCAAACACTGTTAACACACAGCTCCCTGGTCTCTTAACAAATCGTCGTGGTCATCGTCGAAAGCCTCGTGTTTGGACGAGTCTGAGCTCTTGTCATTATTAGCTGGTTGTAAATGTCTGACTGGATCTACGTCCCTCCACAGTTACTGTTTCCATCTGTTCTGCTGACACAGAGTTGACCCCCCGGTGCAACGAGCAGATCAGTCACTCCGTCTGGAGAAACTTGCAGCCGTGCGCGCTACACTGATTTTTCCTGGTGGTGCAGCAAGACAGTGCATCATCGTGAATCAATCTGCAGCCAAAATCACTGCTGCCACATAAAACGGGGATAAGTTAGATGGTTTTAAAAGTTTTAACAACTTTCCTTGTTCTGTGGGGGACAACTCCTCACAGTAGATTTTTATAGAACATGTTCAGTCCTAAACGTTTGATTCGGGAACTGCTGGGACACCCCAGGACACCTCGGTGTTGCTGTTGCCTCATGAAATCAAAGAGACATAGACTATGTACACACTGTACATAAAGATGGACAACACGTCTCGTCTCCCTCCCACTTTCTTGAAGCCTAAACATCCTGTATACAAACACTATATTGTTAAACATCAAACATCGATCAAGATTATCAATTTGATAAGAACAACCTGTCTTGGTCTGTTCTTTAATGAGCTCTATCTTTCTGCCACCTACACAACATAAACAAAAGCAGGGATGGACATTTTGAAAATTTCTTTTTGCTCAAGAAAAATACAAAAACTGAGAAAAGGCATCAGGAACAATGGAGAAAATGGAGCAGGCGTAAACGTAAAGACCTCAACATCAACTTTCTCTGGTCCTCACTTTCAATCTGGTTACTTTCTGTCTTAAATTAAATATAGCAGATGAATCTTTTAGAAAGTGAGCGCACTGAGATTTCAGGTACTGGTGGTGGCACGCAAAGCTGAAACTTCATTGGCAAGAGTGACAGCATCAGCGAGTCGTCAAGCATGTTTAATAAGATCTGGACTCGCTCCATGTGTGCTCAGGAAAAGCAGTGTCGCCTTTCTTGCAGGAGGATGGTAAAAAGATCCGTCCAACATATATATCCTAAACATACATAGAAAAACGAATACCAGCACGGCCCCTCACATCCACCTCATCTTCACAGCTCTTAACTGCAGCTGTCTTCAACACTACGACACGATTAAGCCTGTATTTCACATTGCCCTTGATTTCATGAAGTTTGAGAGGAAGCTGCTGAACTATAGTCTCGGCTTGAGCGATCACGCCAAAACTGACTTGTTTTGGAACAGCGTGACTGTCTTTATGCCTCTTCTATCAAAGCCAGGTCAAGGACAAGGTCTACGCAGGTGTGGAAATTGTCTGCCGGCTCGTACAAGCACATGCTATCGGCAGGAAGGTCAATTAAGGACTCCAAAATCAGACGTCTGCTCTGCCTTTAATTATTAAATTAGATATGCACCTAATGAGAGGAATAGCATCACATGCGGTGGCGCTCTGAGTTCTTGTGAGTTCTTATCACACACCTTGTTATGTAACAGCACCTGCTGAAACCCGTGCAGTGAAATGGAATAAATCTTTCCCTCGTGACGGTTATACTGCTCAGATTTGACCACATCTGCTGCAGAGAGATTTGATCCAACTGCATGTTCATGTTGGAGGATGTGAATTACAAAGAGAGGAGATTCTGTTACTCATTCAGCCCTCATTGAATGAAACAGCATATAAGGCAGTAAAATTCAACAGCACCACTAACTACTGCAGCGTCTATCTGAGGCAATAAAACCTTCATGAAGGTTGGATTTACTGCAGGACGGCTGCACTGGTTTTAGCTATGAGAACTCAAATGCAGCAGAAGCAGCAGCATTTACCTGTAAACAATAACTGGATGGATGGTTGGTCTTTAGAGTCTCAAAATCTGAGTCAGAATAGTATCACAACAACATTTAGTCACAATGTTTGCAACACGATTACAGTTCAAACGACCTTAATCTAAATTGACTGTGGCTGTGTACTGCTGAAAACAAGAAAGAGGAAGTGTGAGATCATTTCCCCCACAATCTGGTGGACTGGTTGGTTTACCTGAAACCTGGCTGCAATTGATGCCAAAATTCAGGTGACCTTTTCCAGGCTTGGCAACTATCAATTGAGTGGTGGCTCACTGACTAATTACAGCTGCGTGTGTCCCGTAATCACATTGGTTTCTTTTTTCTCAACGTTGGTAAGTTCCTCATCTTTTGTGTAAATATGGTGTTTGACACTGGATCTTCAGGAAACATATTTAAAAAAAAAAAGTGTGGAAAAAAGAGCGAACACACTCAGGAATGTCCTTCAAAGAATAAAAGAATAGTTGCCTGTTCGTGAGGGAAGCAGTTTATCATCAATTTTACTTTTATCAACAAAAAGAGTTAAACGTTGGTAATCGATATACATTTAGTGTTTGATTTAGAAGTTTAGCAAATTTTAACTGCATTGTTTCAGAGGGTAAAAAATATGCAGTGGAAATGCACAATTAATAAAAACTAATACTTGTCCTACTCATAAAGCTTTAGGGCAATATGTTGATAAATGAGATTCTTCCGTGTGACACGGGTGCAGTCAGGGACTTTTCATTAAGGCAGCACGAACGAATGTGGCCGAGAGTAAAGGTGACAGAACGAAGAAGGTATTTTCTAATTAAAGCGACTCACACTAGTGAAGACAAAATGAGGAGCTCATGCCTAAAAGAGCGGCAACTTCCCTCTCATGGACGTGATCCTGTCGTGAAAAGTTTGACACGGAGCAGAAAAGTGAACCTTGCTAATTAAGGTCCCCACAACAGATTCAAAACATGGGTAAACTCTTTTACTACCCATACACAAGACTGACGTCAAACTGTACTGACAGAGTTAACGGATCAGAGCCACAAACAAACGCCAGACTCGAACTTCGTTAGGGACGCAGAATCACAAAGATGAGTGGAGATAGTGGTTGTTTCTGGTCCAACTTCATGGTCCCAATTTACACCATCAAGAAAAACCTGAGGTAAAGAGTAATGATTCTGAATCTGAACGTGAAAAGACAACGACAAAGTACATGAACAAGTACATCTTCATCCCTTCACCTCAGGGATCCCAAACAACTGAACTCAAACATGTGGAGCTAAAGCCTGTTGGGATTTGTAGATATAAAAAAAACAAAACGGTAGAATGTAGGCTGTTAAAAAAAAATCTATTTCATGCACAGGAGTAAATGAAAACTTTTCTAATTTTAGTTTAAAATGTTCAGATCCATCCAACATCACTGCTATCACATACCAGCCATTAATATACACGATAACACACTTTAATAACTTAAATCAAGGTCAGAATTTGTTGTTAAGACCAAAACAAGTAAGCAGAGAAGAACTCACCGTCTGCCCGTACAAAACTGTTCAGTGTAGTTTCACAGTAAACACACCGTCGCCGCACGTATGTAAACACAGAGTCTTCCCTTAACCTGACTGTGCACAGTGAGGTGCTATCTGCTGTGTAGTCAGCGACATGATGCCTTTTGTTTAAACTCTGCTCACTGGAGTCATTACGAGCATTGTCACCAAACCGGTTTTTCCTTCACACATGTTCATGCGTCAAGTGCAGCTGAAAAGACGCGGCACAACACTGGCAGGACGACCCGAGATGATGGGACAAGCAGGAAAACGTTGGGAGAGAGGAAGTAAGAGAAGCTGGACGGACGCCTTCTTTAGACGACATCAGGAGAAAGACGATATGCTTCAGACGACCAACTCCCCTGGTGAAACAGGGTTAGGTTAAAGAACTAAGTGAAACTTTAGAAGGAACTACACGTGAGAAAAATAGACACAGAGCAAATCATTAACAGAGACCTACGATTAACTTCAGTTTTCAACATGACCACATTTTATATCTCATTAGTAATGACACTTATTATAATTATTATAAATGCATGTTATATTTTGTCATTGTTATCAGAGCAAGACGCTTCATCTGTGATTCAGCGGGATTTCCCTTTTGAAAGCTAATTGATAAATAAGAGGCGAACCAGCAGTTCTTTGAGCTCATGACGACGATGCTAACACACTAATATTCAGCAGGTATAAACTTTATAAAGTTCAACAGCTTAGTTTCGAGTGTTAGCAGTCACTAGCATGGCTGCAAAGCATCTCCTACCTCCCTAACCTGACAACATATCATGTTTAAAAAGCCATGATCGATAACTGCTGCTGAACAGCGCTTCCTGTAAAGAGGCCGCACAGTACAACCAACAGCATTCAACCATAAATTCAAACGGCCCTCACATGCTGGAGACTGCAGCCACATGACAATGTCAAAAAAACTCCCAATCTCGCCGTGTCGAAGGAAGTGAAAAACAATTCCTGGATTTGCACCAAAATTCAAAAGGTTCTCTCTTGGCCCGCGTCCCGTTCTTCCCTCAGGTTTCGTAAAAATCTGTCCGGTAGTTTTTTTGTAATCGTGTTGACAAACACTTCAAGCAACCAACCAACACACCGACAGGGTGAAAGCTGCACCTTGTTGGCGGAGATACAACAGAATGATACAGTGAGTGGGCGGAAAGATAATAAACAACCACAATAATGTGAAAACCTGTGTTGTAACATTACACAACAGCCAACATTCACCACAAACAATCCACTTCCTTCCTGTAAATGCTCAGCTTCACTCTGTGGATGTTGATCAC